TATATATATATATATATATATATATATATATATATAATTTTACTATAAACTTTTAATTTCATCAAAATACCGTAAACGTAGATAATTGTTACAATTTTTATTACTAATGGTCTTAATATTTCTCGTCTCTTATAAGAGTGAATATCATAAGACCAACCATACCTACAAACCAACACGGTTCAGGCTATTATCATTAATACCACCGCAGAGAAGCCTTGTCCTATAGGGAGATTGCAAAAAGGTCCAAGTGGAAGGGACTTTTTCTAGCTCGTGATATGTCCAATTTCGACTTATGTGTTTTCTATAAAAATTTTCAAGAGGTCACCCGACATAGAATTGCTCAAAGCTTGAGCTTAATTTGGAGATTTTATGATTAAGCCAGAAGCTTACTGTTAACGAATATTTTGTTCTCTTTGAACTTCTCTCTCGTGCTTTCTTCAAGGTTTTTAAAATGTACTTACTAGGTTTCGTTCCCTCTTTTCAACCGACGTGAGATCTCACAATCCACTGTCATTCGGGGCTCAACGTCCTCGCTAGCACTAGTTCCTCTCTCCAATCGATATAGGATATTACAATCCACCCCTCTTTGGGGTCCAATGTCTTCACTGACACATTGCTCGGTGTCAGCTCCTAATACCCCAGCCCACTGCTAACAAATATTGTCCTCTTTGGACTTTTCCTTTTGGGTTTCCCCTCAAGGTTTTTAAAACGCATCTACTGGAGAGGTTCCCACATCTTTACTCTCCAACTGACGTGGGATTTCACATGTACCTTGTTGATATAAGTAGTAACTTCGATTATTTAATTATTTATTGATTATTATTTCATTAGGATTCTTCTCATTTGGGTTTGGTCTAAGTTAATTTCTTTTATTCGGACGTCACATCCCCACCCGCTTCCGCTCAAGCTCCGATAATAAGAAAACGTCTTTTTGGCACAAAATTCGTACAATGGGCCTATGGAGGCCCAATAAGGCCCAATAAGGCCCAATCAGGAACGCAATAAATAATAATCCAAATCGGATAACATATATAAACGAGAGGTCAGAATAATTCAGAATCCCAACTCGCAGCCATGGCTGTGACTTCAACTTCCACTACATCTTCTTTCCACTCCAACCCCAAATCCTTCTTCCTCTCTAGCCTGATTTCGCCTCCTAAGCTCCTTCACCGGCAATTCCATGGTTCCGTCGGTCGCCGCCGCCATCCGACTTCGACGGGAGTGCTGTCCGTTAGGGCTTACATGGAGAATCCGAACTCTCTGTCGGGATTTGCGAATAAGGTGATCGGTTCTCTGCCGGTAGTCGGACTGATCGCGAGGATTCTGAGCGACGAAGGCGGCGTCGGCAGCGACATTATCGATTTCGCGGAGTTTCGGAGACGAGTTGGGAAGAAATGTACGATTATGGATTCTAAAGCCTTCTATGACTTTCAAGAACGGAGGGGCAAGGTAATGCATATTAATATATTTTTTTTCTTAATAGTTTAAATTATACCGTTAGAGTTAACGTGGAAGCCTCATTTTAATCGTTTTAGTTTACAATAGATTACCATTTTAAGACTTTAAAATTAATTTATGTCCTATTGAGTTTTTAATGGATAGGTTAGATATAAATATGAATGTTATATCTAATAGAACAATTTAATATTACCTGTTCTAGTATATTCATGAATTTTAATAAATTCGTAAATTTAAAAATTAAATTTACAATTTTAAAAATCTAGGGAAGAAGTAGATACAAATTTCAAGATTTCAAGTCTGAATTCATGATATATAAACGATTATAATTATTGAGTAAAAGATAAAATTAATAGATCGTTAGAATGATAATAAGTGCCGTGTTCATTATGTTGTATTCGAATTTGCAACTTATAATTTAATCTAAAGAAAACTTCAAAAAAAAAAAAATGGTTAAATTGTCATGGACTTAAGTTTTCGTATGTTCTTAAAATTTTCATGTTCGTGTTTAGAAGGTCTCCAAAATTTAAAAAGTATTGAATAAATTCCTAAAATCTTGTTCTTGTGTCTCATATGTTCGTGACCCATTAACATTTTCTAAAATTCATGAATCTATTTGACATAAAATTAAAAGTTTAATGTTCTATTAGATACAAAATTCAATTTTCGTCTAATAGATTTGTTAATTTTTAGATATACAAAATTTAAAGCTAATTTTTAGATATACAAAATTTAAAGCTAGAAACATGTTTGACTATCTTAAAAATTATACATAATAATTCAACAACTTTTCTTTTATATTAAGTGTAAATGATAACATTTTGAAGTTGAATATTTGGTTGTGGCAGCCAGGAGAGCCTTTGTTCGTTCTATTGTGCTGTTGGCTGGCAGCTGTGGGAGCTGGTTTGCTTAAATCAGAGGAGATTTTTGAAGGCGTGGCAAGGCTGAGGATTTCAGATGATATTGAATTTGAAGAGGAGACTTTCCTTGCTATGATGAACGAGGCTAGAGAGGTATGCTATTCTCATCTTTTGATCTTCAACTTTTCGATTTATTCTATTTTCGTTCTTGAAATGTCTGAATTAGATTTGGTTGCATATCTTAAAACGAAATAACTGTTAGGAACAAAGACGTGATTTGTGAAATCCCACATCGGTTGGGGAGGAGAACGAAACACCCTTTATAAGGGTATGGAAATCTTTCCCTAGCTGACGCTTTTTAAAAACCTTGAGGGGAAGCCCAAAAGGGAAAGCCCAAGGAGGACAATATTTGCTAGCAGTGGACTTGGGCTTGGGCTGTTACATGATTTCACTTTGACCTTAAAAATTTATAGCTATTTTCACTTTTCGCACTTACGTGCTAGAATCACAACTAAAAAGACTTGTTTGTTCTGATAACTTTTTGGAACTATTAATAACTGTCATCGTTTGATTCGCCTTAGAAACTATTAACAATTAGTACTCTATACGTTTGACATTCCTTTGTAGAAACGAGAGAAACTAAAAGTTGCTGTTTCGAAAATACCAATGGAGGTTCGAGTTGAGAAAGCTCTCGATGCCATTTATGTTTGTTCATTTGGAAGAGATCCAATAGAGGAACATGATGAGAAACTCCTAGTGATTATGCTGAGTTCTGTTTTTCCAACTGTTGGGCAATCTGAGATTCAAAGGATGGTTAAAGAAAAGGCTGTTAGAATTGCTGAAGGAAAGGACATTGCCATTGTTCCTGAGCCACAACCTTTGTCAAAAGAAGCTATTTTAGCTCAAATGAAAGACCTCCAATTCCTTCAAGAGAATAGTGGGACATGAGTGATAAATTTGTTAGTTATATCGACCTCTAAAATTTGTAAGAGTTGATTCTTCTGTTCCACCATTCTCTTGTTTAGAAAATATTGGCTATTCCCACGAGACAACTGCCTAATCCTACTACATTTAGTTTAGCTGTCGAGTTTCCAATTTGTTTAATCGGCCCCGTTAGTTCTATTTTACACTTAAAAGCCTAATCCTACTACATGCTCACACTCCCCATTCGACCCGTCTTGAAATATGGACCAAGGAGTCTGAAATGTGTGCGAGTTAACGGGCGAGTAAACTTGTAAGGTACAATGAAGCTGACTGGTGGGATCCCTTTGTGGGTTGCACCACTGACTGACCTTAATCTTTTGAGAAGGGTTTGAGTGTGAGCATGCCTATCGGGACCTAATAGATGGTGAACTATACCTGAGCATGGCAAAGCTAGAGTTTCCTCTAGTGGAGGCCATAAATTCGAGAGGAAAAGAAAAGAGACCTCTCAGTTCATCCATTTTACACTTAAAAGCCATAAATTAGGCTCTATGGACTAAGAGGAAGAGAAGCTTAATCGTTGCTCGTCGACCATGTCCTTCACTCCAACAGCATATGGTATCGGCATTGTCTCTGCACGGTAACCCTATCCAATAAAATTATACGTTCTAACTTATCAAGATCTTGTTTACCTAAAATTGTTAGGATTGTGTCTATTTAGTCATAGTTTTCGTATGGGAACGTGCTAAAAATACCCCTTTTCTTTCATCTCGTCCGGACAATTTGTTTTACGTTCTTCTTCTTATGTTCTTCCGTAAAATTCGAAATTCCCAATGTAATTCGTGTCAGAAAGACGAAAAGAACTGAAACTATTAGAATTTGGTGAATCTGAAATGTGTTTGAACGAAGGAAAAGATTCAATCGTTGGATTATTTAGAAAACAAGGAAAAAAGCCTTGAAATTCTGCATCATTCTGATTGCTCGAAAGAAATGATAGAAAGATGAACTCCATCTCATATTTATTGTCAACTTATATACCAGAAAAGGCAATTACTCAAAGAAAAGTACATCATGTGTAGAAAAACCATATCGGTCTGTTGATAATAGACGATGCTCATACAGAAATAGACGGACTAAAGCTGAAATCGAGTCCCCAGAGCTCGAAAGTTCCTTTAACGAAGTCGTAGTGACCACCCTTGAGTCCAAGAGTTCCATTCACCAAACCATCCCTAACAAATGGATAGGTCAAGAGATTCCCAAGGGATACATCAACTGCTTCCTGCATTTACAAAGAAATGGAAGAACATGTTATGAACTTTCAACCATTCCCTTAAGTTTAGATATTCCAAACATTTTTACTATCTGCATTTGATTTTAACTGCAAAAGTGAATTTTTATTACCTTTTCACAGTGTGTGCATAGTTCCCCAAGCTCTCCCTCACCATGCTTTGATTTCACCTTGGCCTTAGCAGGCAAGCCAATTTTCACCCATTCTTCAATGAAATCACTGTTTTCATTCAGAAATGTGAGTTCTTATCAGTTTATTACACAATTAGTACCCAAATATCATACATTTTGTTGCTCTTGACTGCTTGTTTTGCATCAAGTATCTGTTTCAGAGCAAAAGTCGGGTCCAAATATGTTCGGATAACTATTTTTAACGGTTGTTTTCAACTGTTCTCGTTTACGAGATTTTCATATACTACTATTCTTGAGTAAAACAAATGAAGTTACCAAGTTCGAGAACGGTTAGTTACCACTAAACCCAAAAGTTTAAGTAAAACAAATGAAGTTACCAAGTTTGAGAAAGCTTAGTAACCATTGAACCCAAAAACTTAAGTAAAACAAATGAAGTTACCAAGTTCGAGAACGGTTAGTAACTACTGAACCCAAAAGCTCAAGTAAAACAAATGAAGTTACCAAGTTCGAGAACAGTTGATAATCACCGAACCCAAAAGTTGCAAGTAGAACAAATGAAGTTACCAAGTTCGAGAACGATTAGTAACCACCGAACCCAAAAACTTCAGTAAAACAAATGAAGTTACCAAGTTCAAGAACGGTTAGTAACCACTAAACCCAAAAGCTTAAGTAAAACAAAAGAAGTTACCAAGTTCGAGTACGGTTAGTAACCACTGAACCCAAAAGCTTAATAACTTGAACTTTTTGTTCGATGTTGTGTTAAATCGCTACTTAGCTCAACAGTTTAAGTTGATGAGAGACTAACTTTAGCACGTTATCCAATCACTAAAATATTACGGGTTCGTCTTTGTGATTGGACGACATAACATGAACAAAGAAAGGGCTTACGTTGAGTATTTTCCATCAAATGGAAAGGTCATGAGCCCTTTAATACCACCACAAGCACTGTGACCGATCACAACAATGTATTGAACCTGCACCAGCCAAAACATTCATTCATCACCCAAATTTACTATTTAAAAGCTCTCCCAAGTCAAAGTACATGACTTCTTGGGTTCGTCTTCGGTACAAATTAACTTCAAACTAACAATAACGACTGAAGTGTAAGGTCGAAAACGAGGTATATACCTTGAGATGAAGAACAGCATATTCAATGGCGGATCCAGTTCCTGAGAATTTGCTCTGTTTTCAACGGATCAAAAACAAAAGAAGACCCAAAATTCAGATTCAAACACGATCCAAATGGAAAATGGAGCCAAAAAGAGTTGAACACCAAACCTGATCATATGGAGGAACCAAATTGGCTACATTTCTGACCACAAAAGCCTCCCCTGGTTGGAAATCAAGAACATGAGATGGGCAAACTCTTGAATCAGAGCAAGCAAACACCATGAACTGCATTTTCCAAAAACAATAATTAATTAATTAAACCAAATTAAATGTCCCATTAATAATAATTATAACAAAAAAAAAAAAAAAAAAAA